GATGTTGGGACTATCCTGAGCCACCTTGCAGTACTCTAATTTCTCGACATGCAATGAAAAAAATAAATAACAATATTTGATTTGTAATGTGATGGATCTCGGAATAAGGAATTTTTGGCATTCCCAATAATGAAAATTGTCAAGGTTCTCTAGAAAAATTTTATTATTTTATTAAAATTTAGGGTCATATTTTGCACAAATTCTCCGGTTCGCTGCAAAAAATATTGCACAGGTTGCCCGATACCAATATTTTTTAATCCCTTAACGTTAGCGTCAATGTGTTTTTTCAGTCAGTATATTTTTTTATCATTTTTTTCTATCATATCTGGAATACATATCCTAAAGATCCGCAATGCCCATTATGGGCTGGGGATAAAGTCTGATTTTTTCTATATATATTTTATGAATTTTGATATGAAGTGATAATCCATAAAGTATTTGTTTTTAATTCAACCACTCCCCAAGATTATAATAGTTGTTTATTTTGGTGTTCAACATATATCTTGATTTAGGCCTTTATTTAAAAGAAGTTTGAAACCGGGCCGGGTTACCTTAGTTGAAAATTAAATTCCCACCTGGCCGGGTCTAGAAATTTTACCATTTGTAGGCCTCTAATCACAATTTTGCCTGTAATTTTACTATTTAAAATTTATATAAAAAATCTATGGAGAAACTAATAAATTATATTAAGTTCAAAAATTATTAATTTTCGAAAAATTGCAGAGTAAGTTTTCAACACTTGTTGGAATATATTTCCAACAAAACTATTTAAAATTTAAAAAACGGACTCGAAAAATGATCTAAAGTTGAAAAAAACACTGATAGTATGCTAACATACAATATAATTATCCTAAGCCTACTAAAAACATAAAATAAATAATAATATTCAACCAAACCAATTTTATTTTAATATTTAATCTATTTTTTCCCCATTTAAATGTTTTTTCGACACGCAGTTATTTATTTATAAGTTATAATTTCACTGGCGTGTGTCCTATTTTTTGTATAAATTTTCAATTTTTTTTTAAAAAAAATAAATTTTGAAATCTATTATATAACCTTCAAAATTTTATTTATTTATTTTAAATAATAAAGTAATAATCCATTTCCATTATTAAACATACCATATCAATTAAATTATTTTTATAGCAGTGTCAGCTCTCAACAATCAAAAAGAATTTGTCTTAATCCTTCAAAATGTTAACATAAGGGAGTTAATTGAGCAGTAAAAGAAATGCTCAAAATTTTTAAAGAAGGTTCGTTAAATATTTTTTTGGCTTTATTAGAATTGAAAATCATTATCCATAAATTTCATTTACAACATGCTTTTTTAAAAATGTCTTGAATAATCAAAGGGGCAAATGACGATTAAATATACTTTATACGACCTGATTGATTTTATTAAATATCCTTTATGCTTGTTTTTGGAGAAAAGAGGATATATTCACCAACATACAAATTTTATATACATTTTATTTAATTGAATTATCAATTATTTTTAGTTATTATATTATGTGACTCTTAGTACTATTTGTTGTATTTATTTATCTCAATAAAAATATGAAGACGTGCAGAAATATCTTTAACCCTTAACTATTCAATTACTTATAAAGACTTTCGGGTTTTTTTTGAGTTGAAATTATTAATAGTTCGAAATATATCAATGGATAAAATTTTGTCCAAACATTTTGCCGGGAACACTTCCAATACTGCACTCCTATGATTATATTTATATTATTTAAAATCAATTTAGATTATGTTCGTTGATAATGAAATTCTGGCCTGTAAATATTTTACAGTTTGGCCGGCCGAATTAGCCGGGCTTCGACCAATATTTTTTTATGAAGTTTAACAAATATTTTAAAATTCACAAATTGCCTGACTCGGCCCAAAAATATATTCTGTTCAAATTATTTTTTTACCCCTTTTAGCGTCCAAGCGGTTAGATTCAGATAAAATGGGCTCCACCGGGGAAACTCAGGTTACATTTTGTAGAATCTTACATAAAAATCGTGCGCATCGATAGTCCTTTCCATTAACCTTGAAAACCAACCTTAACTTGGATTAATAAACATCAATAAAATTGAAAGGACAATTTAACTGCTTCGCTGAACTAAGGCTACTGGTTGATTTTACTGATGGGCTGGTTATCTATAGGGGAGGGGCGTAATTATTTTCCGAGGATTTAATTTACCTGAGATAATATTTAAATATCTTTATTTCACGCTACACTGAAACGGTTTAGATTTTTAAAATTTTTATCAATAGCCCTGATCCGGGTTTTTAATATTTGGTCATTGTAAATAATTATTGGTATTTAATAGATGATTCTAAAGGGAAAAATACTATGAGCTAATAAATTAAATCATCATTCAATTTGTCTACTGATTAATTTATATTAAAATATCTGGTTCGGATTTACTCTTATATCCAAAATCATACTATTTAAGGACCAGGTTTTGGACCGGCCCTGCATATCTCAAACACTATTCGATCAATGATTTGCGAAACACGCTAAAATTTCCCTTTGTAGGCATCAATAGTCGATTAATGACTAAACACCTCTCAAAGTTCCGCGATTAGAGACCAGTAGAATGGACACGTTAAGAAAAGTGAGTTTTGTATTTGAGTAATATTAATTATAATAAAAAACCAAAACTTATAAATCAGCTGTGGTAACTAGTGTTAAACGACTCAGCTGAGTCGGCTTAACCACGACTTAAGTCAAATTTTTAGCCGAAAAATCTACTCAATATAAAATCTTGACATGCCAAAGTGGAAATTAAAGATGCACTAAAATCTTCAGAATCAAATTATTACGCGAATTGAATTGCAACAATAGAATTTATGAAAAATTTTAAAGCATGAAAAGAGTATAAATTTGAAAAGCTTTGAAAATAAATCTAATTATCAGTGGAGTAACTTCTGCATCTTCTTCCCTTTCCACCATAAATCTTAATAGGGATTACTTGATTTATCAAGTCATTTTTGAGCGTAATTAGGGTTTTCATGTCAATACCTTTAGATTTATCAGCAATTCTCTGTTTCATATTTCTAAATTTTGTTGAGACATTGTTTTTCGGATAAAAGGAATGAATCTATTTTATTCGATCAGAACATTTCATCATGTGAAAGGCATACCCACTACAAAATTTCCACAATTATTTTTAGCATTCGATTACTGTAATCAGGAATTCAATTTCTATTCATTTGCATAAATGTAATATTCAGGGACATAACTAGTATGTTTCGATCATATTCATCTTGTTATCCCTTTTCCTATAAGGTAATAATAGATTCTTCATTTTATGACAATTCATAAAATCATATATAATTATAAAAATCATATGTTATCACTTCAAAAATCAAAATGATAATTATACCTAATTAAATAAAATACATATTATACACCTTCTAGATAAACGTTCTTTATTGTTTACACCAATTGAACCTTTTAATTAACGACTACGATGAAAATGTAAATGCGGCTATCTGATATAAAAACACGGGGTGCATAAAAAACTGAGCAGTACTCGCTATTATCAACTTTGATGATGTTTTTTTTGAATGAAATGTATTACAATTTTTTTATAATTATATCTTCCTTAATCATTTTTTAATACAATTAATCGAAATTTTATTTTCCTTATTTAATATAATACTAATACAAATAAAAACTATATTACAAACAACATGACTGTTGAAATTTATAATGCAACTAAAACTTGTTTATGTACATAGTTCATATTTTGTATTTTTTTTACCATAATATTATTCAGAATCGAAACTTGTAGCTGAGAAGCAAAAATTTGAATAATTTAGGCTTGTTTTTTTACAGGAAAAATATACTACATAGTTTTATGTCAGACAACATAAAAATTTTTTAAAATCACAATATATGTTTAACTAGAGCCCTGCACCGATCTGTTTGATCTGACCTAAACTACTCCAGGCATTATTTTAAATGCTCATTAAAAGGCGGGTAGGACTAGGACAAAATTTATTCAGACTTATATCTCGGCTAAACTTTAAATTTTTTTTATCTAATTATTTTATAAACATATATCAAATATTTATTTTCTTCCAGGTCTTATAATTTTCCGATTTTCTTGTAGAATCCTTCATCTTAACCTTTGAAGATAAATGTTTTTACTATTAGGTAAGACGTCATGTTAAAAAAAATTGAATTCTAGTATAGAACTAAGAGTTACAAAATTGGCAGATTTTTTTAAAAATATTAACAATTATTTTTAATTTTATGACCGCCTTTAAGGTTCGCGCTCTAAACCCCGATCTTCCCTACTCAGTTTAATATAGTAAAAAATTTCCATTTATAAAATTTTAGCAATCATATTTCGTCAATAACTATTATTGAACTCAAATTTTTAACAGACAAAGAAAGATTATTATCAGTTTAATCATTCAATTTATTTACACCTGCTCTTTGGTTTTATATAATTTAATACATACTCCTCATACTTATATATAAATATTACCACATCTAATATAAAAATGTATCCCGGTCATTTAAGTTCACCATCAATATTAAAATTCGACATCCTATCAATTATTTTAAAACGCGTGCATAAATGGCATGTATGTCCATATTTTTAAAATAATTTCTTAAATCTTTTAAAACCATGAATGTTAAATTGATAGTTGGATTTGTTAAAAATTAAAAAACTACCATTTTTATGACTTAATCCTACAAATATAATTAAAAAATTAGTGCGGCATATGTCTTATAAATAATTTAAAATTTATCATATGCAAAATGTCCAATTTACCGTAAAATCTGAATTGTTATATAAATATCCATATTATTTGTTTATTGAGCATTCTGATTATTCTTTAAAATTGATCATAATATGTAAAGAAGTTCATAATTACTAAAAATATAACCTCAATATTTTTTTATTCATTTTTAATAAGTTGAACCTCATTTATACTTTTAAATAAAACTAATTTATATTCATTTTATTATAAACAAAATTTAACAGGTCATCTCACAACGAGTTAGAAAAATGCAGGTAATTACTAAATAAGACTCAACCCATTTTCTTAAATATATTTACATCATTTAAACACTATTTAAAACTATTTTATAATTTAAAATAAATATAGAAGAGCTTACCTAAGGAACTGTTTGAATGGGTTGAAAGAGTTGGTACCCTTAGATGCAAATACCTATCGTCACACAACTTTAGGCCTTCTTAATAAAGCCAAACTTCATATAAAAGTAAAGGACAGCTTTAAATTTAACTCTAGTTTATCATTTAATGCTTTAATATTTTTAAATATTTATAAATCTCAGCTTTAAATAATTTACTTAGGGCGAATTTTAATTTGAAAAATCTGATTTTACTGGAATTGTATTCCAGCTTGCCTGTAATATCAGCGATTTAGTCATTGACCTTTATATATTTCTGAATTTATTTAAAAAATAATATAAATTAAGAAAAATTCAAGAATTAATAGCAAAATGGTCTGAAATTGACCATGTGGTAACTTACATATATTCCACTTCCGTCAAAATAAATTTTTCAAATGTAAAAATAGCCCTTAGTAAATGATTTAAAGCTTAGAGATTCTGAATCCCCTTCCGACAGATATAATTATATTTTTTAAAAAAAATTAAATTTACAGAATCTAGAAGAAAACGCCAAATCCTTGTCCAGGCGCAAAGAAAAACTCTTTTCTGAACAACGGCGATTACGACAAAATTTAGCAAATCTCATTCTCGAAAGGACTTCTAATAGTACTAATAACCAGGCTACATCTCTTCCATCTTCCCTTATAATTTCAGCCGAATCTAAGCCAAATGATAAAACCGAATTTTTCGCTTATAACTTGCCCCGACCCTTTCAGAGTATCAATATTGGCAGAAATATAGATAACGATAAGACCTCTTTATCCATTGTCAACATCAATGCTAAAAGCAATAACACGATCGGATTCACCAAAACCAATATGGTCAGTCTATTAACCAGCAGAGTTCCTAACAAAAAATATCGTACCGATAGCGAGTCGAGTTCACTGTCTTGCAATTCCAACATAAGTTCTTTGATGTCTATGAGATCGATAGAATTTTCGAACTCCGATAAATCCCCATCAATTGTTAAAAATCGTATAGAAATGGATGATGTATGTAAGGATGTTGTGATGAAAGAAATTTCAAGGGAAAAGGATGGTGGTTTCAAGGAAGAAGCCTTTTCTTCTACAAGTTCTGGATTCAGTTCTGAAAATAATTCGGGTTTCAACTTTATCTTGTATTTTTATTTGGGAGAGAGGGTAGTATTTTTTTTATAAATAATTTATATATTTTTATGCAATATTAATTTTATTGTATTTAGGAGCCTCAGCCTTTTCAATTTTAAGGTATAATCACGGTTAAGAAAATTTAAAAAAAGGAAATCCCATCTAGAATTTTAAAAAATCAATTTGGAGGGTTTGCCAAATTGTTCAGGAGGCTTGAATTTCCTAACGACGTTACTGAATGCATTTTTATAATAAAATATATTATAATTGTTATAATTAACATTTTTTTATATTAGATGATTTTGACCATTTATCAGAGAGTGACGAATCATGTTCTAATGAAGAATCTTCAGTTCAAGAGGAAAGTGGTTATCTACCTCAATACTAAAAACTAAATTAAAAATTTGTAGTGTGTTGCCTTTGAACTCAATAAACTTTCAAAATAATTAATCATAAAAGCCATACTCAAGGCGTGTATATCGTCAAGAAAGTGATCATTCTAAATTATAACATTCACATTTTATTGTTATTAACAAACCATACATTAAATTTAGCATATAAATAAAATTAAAAAATTATTCATGTTTTTAACAATTTTATTAAAATTTTTAACTTAAATATATATTTATATTATATTTTGATTTCTACACTTTTGTCTCAAACCATCAGGGGTTATATCGTCAAATTAATCAACTTAAATATTTATAATTATTTAATTATGTCCCCATTCACACAATGCATTAAGAAACTAAACAAATGAGTTTATTATAATATAATATATTTCCCATTTTTTAAAAATTCAAAGTGCGAGAATATTACTACAATATTTTATTATATTTATTTTCTTCTTAAGACCTTAAATAATCTTCTATTTTAAATTATTTGAATTTTGCTCTTTTTACTCGACACCCCAACTCTATTCCATGTAAAACATTTTTATATTTATATCCAATATATTTTTATATTAATTTTTTAACATCTTTTATATTTATTTATAACTGTAAAAAAATTAATGTTACTTAGCTGTCAAAAAATAGAAATTTAGAATCATAAAAATGAGAAGCAAGCGATAATGTTTTTTTTTCAAACCCTCAAACTATTTATTTTAATAAATTCGTATTTAACTCGCAAAAATAAATTTACGTTATTAATGATCTCACATTTTCACTGTATTTTCATCAAAGCTCTTTGTTTTCAAAATTTTTCTTTTTTTTGTTCGGTTCAATAATATATAAAAATACTTGAATATAATATATTGTAATCTTTTAACCATAATATATCTTATTTAACATTTATATACTATTATAAATATAAATTATTAATATATTTAACTTTCTTTATATAAAAATAAGGAGAATGATCGCCCCTAAATTAATTTATTATATTCAAGATTTTATTTATATAAGATAACGCAAAACTTTCTAAAATTATATTTATAGCAATTATCGAAATTCGTAAATGATTGCATATTAATAAAATGAATATTAATTGTCAGTATGCTCATTTGTAATGATGATTTATATTACTCCATTAGTTTAAATATCAATATTAGAAGGTAAGCAAACTAAAGATAATCATACTCATGATTTCCTATATATGAACCTTTGTGTTTAGTCTAGTGTTGCGTCCTACGGTTTGATCCAAACAAGACGATAGTAAAGTCTAACGTGGTTTCCCATTTTGGACGCTAGTTAGCTCAGGTATCGTTGAAATAAATACTTTCGAACGAGGGAGTAGGGCCCGAGTCACTATGAACATTAATATAATCACGACACACGGATCGATTCTAATTTTAATACCAAGGTGAACATATAAGGTACGATTTTAAAATCGTTATTTGTATTAAAAAATTAGTTGCAATATAACTCGAAAATTGTTATAATCTATATTTCAATAAATATTTAAATTTCCCATTATTTAAAATAAAATAAAAAAAAACAATGATGAAAATACAAAATGTTTTTTTTAAAAATCCTAAAGTATATGCGTAAATAAAAAAAATGGAATATAAGCTATTAAATATTATGTGTTAGGGAGTAGTGATCTGCATCTGGCCTAATTTTTCAGGCCCGGCCCGAAATTTTTTTATAAAGTTTTGCCCGGCCCGGCCCGATTTATTTAAATATATAAATTAATTCTTAATTACTCAAAATAAACGATATATGTTATATGGCATAAAATCACATATTTTTATTTTACATGAAAAATTCAACAAAAAATTGATAAATTTAGATATATTTAAAAAAAAATTTAAGGCCCAACCCGGCCCGAATTTTCTTAAAAGATATTAGGCTTCGGGCCGGGTTTACTTTTGCAGATATCTAATAAAAGGCCGAAATCAATGATAAAGCGGCCATAAAAGCAAGGGAAGTATTGATCCCCTTGCTATTTTTCTTATAAAATTCTTAAATGAAATTAACATAATTATACTACATTGATATTTTTACTGCGTTAAAATAATATATAATTGTGCCTAATAGGCCTAATAGAACAAAAATTAATATTATTTTTACCTTCATTTAAAAATTTTTCCACCTATTCGGATATAAGCTCCTTATCTCATTCCATTTTATATTCGTAAAATCCATTTTATCGAATTTATGTTTTCCGATATTGGCTTTAACTTTATGACCCATTGGAGTTTTGGTTTTCCTTTCTTTCGTTTACCCATCACTTTTATACTCTTAACCTTGTCTCCTAAATAGTTTTTATATTGTTGTCCGAACTACCTAGTCTGTTCCAAGGGCGGACTGGCCATAAGGCCAAATGGGCATTTTGCCCACGAAACCGTAAGAAAATGGCGATCAGTAAAAAAAATGAAAAAAAGAGGCAGATCAGAAAAAAAATGTAATATATATATTATTTTTTAATCATATGATTTATGATTTTTCTCTTATTCATATTTTATATATTAAAAATTATCAAATTTCCTTTTTTAGCATTTAGAATAGATTAATACATTTCTTGACGATCATCATTTAGATGCTATTATATAGATTTTTTTATTTTCTCAAAAAAGGCGTCGTTTGAAAGTCAAATTTTGATTAATTTACATTTTTATACATTATTTTATATTTTATTAATAGAAATAGTTGAATTAGCTTTAAAATAATGAATTAAAAGAATGGAGAGATTCGCAATAATATCCATGTAAATAAAACAAATATTTGAGATGATAAAGTTTTTAAGTTAAAACTATTTTACCAAAGAATTAGGCAACAATGAAACACCAATCTTGAAAATGAAATCTAAATCATGGGAATTTCCTTGATAATGATAAAATGCTATTTTCAGGAGTCAACATTGAAAAGAAAAGCTGAAAATTCCCATAAATCAAAAAGAAAGGGTAAAATTTTACATCAAAGACAACCGTTAATAAGTTTGTTCTAAATAAAATTAGGAATTTAATATTAAAAAAGGGAGATAGGGAGCAACATTTGCAAATATATAGTACACAGTAGTAGCTAATCCCGATCTCTATAAGGCAAAAACCAACCTTATAGATAGGTAATCGTTGACTGAGAATTTAATTTAAAACGTTAAATCTGCTTGGCTTTTTTGAAATAATGGATCGGCTCTCACATCTTTAAACTAGAAATTTAGAAAGTTTATTAGCTTGGAAAAGGATCGAAACCTTCATTCAAAATAAAGCCATAAAAATGGCTACAAATTTAAATGAAAATATTTCTGATTTAAAGCTGCCATATAACATCTGGATAATGAAATAAAAAACTAGACTAACAAGGAAGATATATAGCGATGAACGCCCGAAAATCCGATTAATATCTATATTTTTAAAGCAGGTGTCTTACAATTGATCAAATTATAAATAGTTGACCGAAGGATTTTTAATGAATAAAGAGCTTACACCGAATGTGCAATATTTGTATCCGAAGAATTGTGATGAAAAAAATACCTAAAGTATTTCTGAAAAACCTTGAAGAAAGCTTCACAATTAGAAAAATGTATTCGGTAACAAATTACGGCATGAATTGTCTTCATTTCCCCGTATTTACAAAGATTTAATAGTCAGACAATGTAAATACTGATGTCTGATGATATAATTTGAGATTGTGAGGAGCCTAATCTCTTATCTTATCTAGCACGTTGGTCATGGACCTGCCCAAAATGAGCGAACGTGAATTACTATAGAGGCCCTATCCTCCATAATAATTATGCCGATTTTTTTCCTCAAGGATACCAACAAACCTTGTAACCCAGATATAATTATTAAGAGGAGTGGAACTCACCCAATCCAATAATAATAATAATAGCATTGTGAATAAGATTATGAGCATATTTAAAAGGAAAAAAATAGTAGTACTGTATCATCCAATACAAATTATTAGTCATTAGTTAATTATCTAACATTATTTTTTTATAGTTAGTCTTAATTTTTATTATTATTATGATTATTAAATTTATTTAGTTTACTTACAATTTGTTCCCAATTATTTAGTTAGAAAATATAATTATATTTAATTTTTATAATTATTTAGTTTAAAATATCTATCTATTTAATCTATTTGACCTTAAATCTCATAATGTAATGTAATCTATTAGAAATTATCTTACAATGTGCACTAATTTAATCTGCCTTCATTTACTATAGCCCTATTCAATTACTTCAACTCTTAGATATATATCAAAGCAATATAAGAAATTGTATTTTTTAGTAATAACATAACTTTACTTACTCAACTTTCATTGTTATATCAAAGTAATATATGGAATTATATATTTAAATAATAAACCAAATTTAATTTAATTTAATCATCATCTTTACTTGTTACATTCTCAGCAGTTATTCGTCAAGTGTTCGTAAATAAGTCTTAAAACGATTTTGTAAGTTTTCCTATCTAACGAAGCACGTTTTATGAATTCCCAAGATAGATCTATGTCCGATAATGATCGAATTATTCTACCAAACCAACTATTTTTGTAGGATAGGAAAGGTTTGAGAGATAATTCTTCTAAAGGGGTAATAAAAAGGGCTTGATATACTAGGTTGTTTGGGGCTTGTCTGAGAATGTGCCCTAATATTTCGATTTTCCTATATTCACATAGTCTATATATAGGGAGAATGTCACATCTGGACCAAAGATTATGATTTGAAGTATTATACGGGTAGAAAGTTTTAGTAATATATCGAAGACATTTGTTAATGAACGCTTGCATCTTTTTACTTTCTTGTTTGGTATCTTTCCAAGTTTTTATACCATAGATTAGGGAGGGGAATATTAAAGTTTTAAATAATCGAATCTTTAACGGAATTGATAATTGATTCGAACTCCATATTTTCATAAAGGATCTATATTTCTGTCTGCCTTTATTTATTTTAACTATTAGGTCTAGCTTTGTATTTCCTTTTCTATCTAGTATCACTCCTAGATATTTTAATTGTTGAACTTCTGCTATTTTTTCCCCTTGTATCGTTAGATTTATGTTTGTAGGGGAGAATATTGATGTCATCAACTTTGTTTTATCAATATTTATTTTTAAACCAAAAAGGTCAGCAACTTGGGTCATCATGTCCACTAGCAATTGGAGGTGTGATATAGAATCTCCTATAATACAAATATCATCGGCAAAAGCAAGAATATTAAATTTCACGATGGGAATCTGAGCTAAACATTGTTTAGTCACTCTTTTTATGATATAGTTTGTAATAAAATTAAAAAGAAGAGGAGAAAGGACACATCCCTGTTTCAAACCTATCTTAACTGGTATTTTTGTTGATTTATGACCCGCATGGATAATTTGTATCGAGTAATCGTTATAGATATTTTTTAATATTTTCACCAATGAAGTTGGAGTATTAACTTCTTCTAATGCTATCCATAACCTATCATGATTAATCGTATCAAAAGCTTTCTTAAAATCAAGAGCAATAATTATTAATTGCCTTTTTCGTATTATAGATTTCTCCATTTGTATCTTTAGGTTGAGAATAGCTTCAAGAGCATTATGTCCCTTTCTAAATGAAACTATTGAATCCACATAATCTCGTTCTATAAAAGGTTTGAGTCGATTTAGGATTAAGTTAGTGAAAATCTTATAAACTATAGAATTTAGTGAGATTCCTCTCCAATCCTCTAGAGTTTTAGGGTACTTAGTTTTTGGAAAATTAATTAGTATAGCTGATAGCCAATCACTAGGGCATATCCCTTCCTTCCATACTCTCGATATGATAGGGAATAGTATATCGGCGGATAATATAGGGTCCGTTTTTAAATATTCACTACGAATATTATCTTGACCACACGCCTTGTGATTTTTTAGTTTCTTTATTATATTTATTATTTCACTCTTAACAGGATCTATGATTCTATCTGTATTTTGGAATAAGGTAGAGGGGGAAGAATGTGTAGATAAAGATGTAGTATTATGGGTATTATCTTGAGGGAGAAATAATTG